ATGAGATCACGGACATGACGAGGAGTCTTGAAATGGTCGAGAGGTAAAGATTCATATATTGGAAGGTTGTATTCGGACATTGGAATGGTTTCGAGTGATTCGGGTATTTTACCGGAGTACTGAGGGGTTACCGGAACCCCCCGGGGAAGTGTTGGGCCAACATGGGCCTAAGGGAGAGAGAGGGGAGCCCGCGGGGGGTGGCCGCGCGCCCCCCTGCTAGGGAGTCTGAATAGGACGAGGAGGGGTCGGCGCCCCCCTTTCCTTTCCCTCTCCCTCTCCTTCCTATTCCCTTAGGTGGAGAAGGGAAAAGGGGGGGGGCGAATTCTACTTGGACTAGGAGTCCAAGTAGGACTCCCTCCATGGCGCACCCCTCCTGGCCGCCGGCCTCTCCCCCCCTCCTTTATATACGTGGGCAGGGGGCACCCCAAAGGAACACCAAGAGTTCTCTTAGCCGTGTGTGGTGCCCCCTCCATAGTTTACTCCTCCGGTCATAGCGTCGTAGTGCTTAGGCGAAGCCCTGCGCGGATCACATCACCATCACCGTCACCACGCCGTCGTGCTGATGGAACTCTCCCTCGACCCTCTACTAGATCAAGAGTTCGAGGGACGTCATCGAGCTGAACGTGTGCTGAACTTGGATTGGTTGGATCGTGAAGATGTTCGACTACATCAACCGCGTTAATCTAACGCTTCCGCTTTCAGTCTACGAGGGTACATGGACACACTCTCCCCGTCTTGTTGCTATACATCTCCTAGATAGATCTTGCGTGATCGTAGGATTTTTTTTGAAATTGCATGCTACGTTCCCCAACAATTGTGTCTATGATGTCGCTACGTCGTACGCCATAAGCATTATAATGTTATGACAGGGTGGGTCGCCATAAAACACGTTACGCCATAAAAACATTGGCTACAGACAATGATGTGAGTGTGGGCATGACGATGGCTCTGACATCGAAAACACCGAAGCGGCGATGAGGGGAGAGAGAGCGAGTGTGTGTGAACTGCCGTGTGAGGTGACTGGAGAGAGCGTTGGGAGCTATGAGACGTCCCGTCGTCTCCCGCGCTTCCCCACACGTGCATATGCTCATTACACATGGCTTGAGCGAGTCTGGCTCTGGAAAAACAGTCGATTCAGCCATTCCCCTGGATGCAGGCCCATAGCTACTTTAAGTTTCGTGCGGGTGAGGAAACAGATGCAGCCTAGGCAACCAAACAGGCCGACTTCATCTCGCGCGGGCCTGGCTGAGGGGAATGTGGCCTACCAAACGCATCATAATTCACACCTTGTTAGTTCTCTTTTTTGTTTGCACAGTTGCACAAGGTGCTAGTTTTGAAGATGAGATTTGATATCTGGAACCGGCGAGTTGGAGCATGAGGTCTTTTTTGCCAATATCATAGTGGCACCTGCTACAACATCTTCTTTGTCAACCAACTAGTATTGGGTGAAGTAAAGCTAACTTGAGAGGGAGAATGCTCACCTGATTCGGCATAAGGTTGTGTCTATGATGTCTATCTTGTATGACCTGTCGTTAAACTCAGGTTATTTCATGCCCTGTTAGGCCTCTTTTGGTTTGTAGGGTAGGAAAATCATAGGAATAGGAAAATCATAGGAAATGAGATGACATGCATCTTAGATCCTATAAGTAGGAATAGGAAAGGAGATGTCCTTTGATTCGCATTATAGGATTTTTTTTTCATTGAGTCTAGGCTAATGTTTATTTTCCTATGAAATGTGGAGGATAGAAAGAATTCCTCCATAGGAATAGGATTCTATTCCTACAAAACAAAGGGCACTAAAGGAATTTTTTCTATAGAAATCATATCCTATGAAATTCCTACGAAATTCCTCCAAACCAAAAGAGGCCTTAATCTGTTAAAAAAAAACAGCTCGGGCTGTTTCATGGAGTTGCTTTTTTCAGTGATCCGGTAAAGAAAAGAACATGTTCATTACTGGGTCCATCACGCCGAAACACTACTGAAAGAGCAAAATGTTGACGTGATAATGACCTACTTCACCTACATTGAAACCACGAGAGGTAGCAAATTTGATTTTACTTGTAAACGAAAGGAAGAACGGCTGATTGAAACAAAAGGAAGACAAATTTTCCAATCAACCTATATGCACACGTTATAAGACAGCTGATTATTCAGCCATACTTAACACAACATAATTTTCCCTGCAAAAAATAAAATAAAAATAACACAACATAACTCCTGGTGCAATGCTCTTTCTCCCGCGCCATATGTTTCGAGGTGCTGCGCATTGTGCGCCGCGAACGGCATACGCCTTCCCAGCATGACTCCGTGGTGGATTGGTGGACCAACGCCAGCACCTCGGAGCCAGCTACGGCAAGGAAGGACTTGAACTCCTTGGTTATCCTCGTCATGCGTAGGATCTGAAAGGAGCGCAACAGTAGGGTTGGTGTTCGATAAGGCCATAAGGGCATCTCCAGCCGCGCCCCCAACAGGCCCCCCAGGCTATTTTTTCGGCGCCGGCGCCGAAAAAACGGCCCAGTCGCGTCCCCAGGACGCCGAAAATCGCCGGTTCGGATCTTTTTTCCGCCCGGCGGTCACAGGCCGAACCCGGCGTGCTGGGGAGCCGTTGGGGGCTCCGGCGCTAAGGAAAAGCACGCCTGGCCCACACCGACAGGGGAAAAGTCAAGGTTTTCTTCCCCCGACTCGCCTCGCACCCCCCGCGCCCTCGGCCACCACTAGCTATATCCCGGCGACGGCCGCCGGCCTACTCCGCTAGATAGTCATTCCCCGCCGGAAAATAGCAGCGCTTCGCCGCGGCAGCCCCTCCCGCAGCACCTAGTCGTTTCCGGCCGCCGTTTCCGGCCGCGGAGGCGCGGTTTAACGGCGGGTACACGCCCACCGAGCGCAAGGTGTTCGGCGTTTTGACTGTCTCGGCGATGGACTCGGATGAGGAGGAAGAGCTCGCCGCGCTGCTGGAGGAGGAAGCCGCGACCGACGTCCAGGAAGAAGAGCATCTGATGGTGCTCGCCGCCCTCGCCCAGCTGCTGGCGAGCAATGAAAAGCCGCGTCGAGGTGGCTCGGCGCCGGGGCGGGTGAAAGCAAAGAACCGGCATCGTCTGCAAGGCTACTGCATGCTCTACTCCGACTACTTCGTCGATGCTCCACTTCATGGCGAGAGAACATTTCGGCGTCGTTATCGGATGAGCCGAAAGCTCTTCCTCAGGATTGTGAATTCCATCCGGGAGTTCGACAACTACTTCAAGTGCAAGATGGATTGCACTGGCGCTCTTGGATTCACCTCCATCCAGAAATGCACGACAGCGATGAGGATGCTTGCATGTGAAGCTCCCAGTGATTCACTCGACGACTATGGGCGCATGGCCGAGTCCACCAGCATAGAGTGTTTCTACAAGTTCTGTCGGGCAGTGGTGGCAATGTTTGGGCCACAATACTTGAGAACACCCAATGCAGAAGACACTGCTCGGATCCTAGCCTAGAATGCAGCATGAGGATTTCCTGGGATGCTTGGAAGCATCGACTGCATGCATTGGCAATGGAAGAACTGCCCATTTGGTTGGCAGGGGATGTACAAAGGCGCCAAAGGCGGTTGCAGTGTGGTGCTTGAGGTGGTAGCCACACAGGACCTCTGGATTTGGCACTCCTTCTTTGGTATGCCAGGAACTCACAATGACATCAACGTGTTGCAGTGCTCTCCTGTTTTTGCCAAGCTCGTTGAGGGTCATTCTCCTCCGGTGAACTTCGAGATCAATGGGCACCAATACAACAAGGGGTACTATCTAGCTGACGGCATCTATCCGAGATGGTCGACATTTGTGAAGACGATCACAAACCCTGTGGCAGGAGGCAAGAACGTCTGGTTTGCGAAGGTTCAAGAGGCTTGCAGGAAGGATGTCGAGTGGGCATTTGGTGTGCTCCAATCTCGATTCGCTGTTGTTCGGTACCCCGCTCAGACCTGGTCGAAAGATTAAATGTGGGATATCATGACTTGTTGTGTCATCTTGCACAACATGATCATCGAGAGCGAGCAAGAAGACCCAATGTTTGACACTGAACCATACTACAGGTAGGGTCCTCTAGCCGAAGTTGATCACCAGCTACCGGCAACTTGGACTGCCTATCTCAGTATGCGTCAGGAGATCCGAGACCCACAGGTGCATCATCAATTGCAGAAAGATCTGATTGAGCACCTATGGAGGCTCAAGGGGGACGCCGCGTGATGAAATACGAGTTTTTATTTGTTGAACTATATAATTTGTATTGAAATATTTGTTGTTGTAGTATTTTGTTGAAGTATTTGATTTTTCTGTGATGAAATATGTGATAAGGAATAATTGTGTTGATAATTGAATGCCGAGACACGGCGAAACCACGCCGAATATGGGCCTATTCTCGTCCATATGGGCCGTTTGTTCACCGAAATTAGGCTGCAAAGTGGGCCAATTTCGACGCCTGGGGTCGACGACCGGGCGCAAAACCGCCCCAGCGCCGAGTGTATCTCCGGCTCGCCTCCAAAGGGCGATTTGTATGCGTCCTGGGAGGGCCAACGGCCTAACATCTCGGCCGCCGCTTCGGTGGTAGTGGCGGGCATTGTTCCCGAATGAAATGGAGGCTATGGCTACTCGCGTGGCGGCAGAGGGGCCGTAACCGTAGAGTTGTGGGTAGGCACGAGTAGTTAGGCAGAGCTCTGCCGGTGGATTTGGGTGGTGTGGCCTCTGTTACGAGGTTCTGTAAAACTTGCATCTCTTTTTCCCTCTTAATCTTAATGATATGACAGCGCAATTCTCTTGCGCGTTCCGAAAGAAAAAACACAACATAACTTACAAGTTGTACACATATGGTTGCCTACATAACATGCAGTTAATAGCCGAATTGCTGGACATTAAACATAAATATCTGCTATTAGATGCAGAAATACAAAGGCACTTCGACAGACCGGACAGATAAATTTAGAGGAAATAGAGATCTGTAGTGCCTCTCTTTAGCCATCATCTTCACAACATTCAAACCCCCATCCCACTGACCGCTTCTTTCAATTCGTCAAAGTCCATTCCATTCATCATCAAATGACGCCTGTTCGAAACAAGAAGAGACCAAGCGACAGTAATCTCCACTTCCACCTTAGGGTCACGGTCACCCAAGAAACATGTCTCCTGACTTATATTGCAAGCTTTGGGCGTGAAGCAAACCTCACCTTGTGCGGTGATATCACCAGATTCTGAGTAGGCTTGTATGACAACATTCAGGCTTCCTTCCAATTCTACAGAAACTACATGCCTTGATAGACGAAGGTAACCATATGAACCCTTAGGCATTGTTCTACCGCGTGAAGCAAGCATCACAACTTCCATGGATGGGGCATGAGTAGTATAAAAGACTTTACCATCAGTGACCTTATATGTCCGCGGTGGTGAGAGGCAAGCCACTTTACCACCGTAATCGAAAGGCCATGGTCCATTTTTGACACAGACACCCAATATAGTGGCCTGGACAGTTTCATGAAAATTCGCTCCATGCATAACTCTATTCTGCAGAAGCAGTTGCTGAAGGAAATGGTATGTCCTCCGCTGTAATGGCGCCTCCCACTAATCAATGCTATATCTTGAGACAATGTTTTGCCTTTCACTCTTAGCTCGGTTTCAAAGTAAACATCATCAGTAAACACAATGGCACGAGACGGGCCAATTAAGCGCAAAAAAGGATCCTGCAGGCGTCACCAAACAACTTATTAGTACCGGCAATCCTAAAGGAACAAAACATACCTACTTCTAAACCTTTTTTTGAACTGACACAATATGACAGCAAGAGAAGACAAGGAAGAATGGCACCACATATGCATTAAATATACAAAAAATTGTAGGAAAGGATTATATCAGGTAAAGTACTAGCATACATATGTCCTGACTGAGCTTCTGCGACCTCCACCTATCGCAAGAGAAGAGGAGGTTGCGGCTGTGATCCACGCAGTCTCGAGCGGCAACCACCCCATACACAGACAATGGCCACTCAAGGCCGCCTTTTAACTCCTCGAGCTTGATGGTGAAGATCTGCAGGGTGGCCCCAGCGATGGCGGCATCTCCTGGGTCGCATCCAGGTGTGCAGTGGGTAAAGTGCATGGGACTCACGGTCGCTGCAAAGACCAACCAAATAGAAGACTTACAGAAATCTAACATGAATGGATGGATCAAAGCATAAGCATGCACGAATGTGTTAACTTGCTAGTATTCAGTACTCACTCGTGTCTTCGAAGAACGCGCGGCCACACGCTCCCCAGTTAGATTCCCAGCTTGTACGGTACGAGGCAAAGCTGTTGGCCTCAAAGGCCATCTCCTCCTCTTTGGCTATTTCCAGGGCCGATTTGCCTCTGTCCATCTCCATCTTCATATCATGATCACATGGGCACAGTTTGGATTCATTGGAGCCTTGGACCTGCTTCAGATCCATGGCTGCATGGTGTTGGGGCCTTGCGGATGGAGCCGCAGCACAATCTCCGCGCTTCCCCTTCTTATGACCCCCGCGGTTCCCCTTCTTACTGCCACGAGACTGCATCTTGGTATCAGGCCCGCGGGGAAGTTGTTGAGATTGCATCTCAGTCTCACAAGGCAATGGACCAATCAACTGCTTCTCCACGAAGGATTTTCCCTTCTTACTGCGACGAGGAGGAACCTTACTCTGGATGTCAGGTCGACTAGAAATAACTTCAGACTGCTGCGTCCTGGCCTCAACCTTTTCCCCGTCGTCTAATTTGGTTCCAGACAAGTCCAAATTTTTGAAATGCACCTCCATGGTTGTCACCTCATCCTCATGGGCACCTTCCGGATAAATCTCATGGCAGTCATACACAGATGGTTGCCTCTGCTGTTGTAAAGGAGGAGGGGAAGGAGGACCTGGAACCTCACTCTGGATCAGAGAGCCGCAAGAAAGAACTGGTTCCTCCAAGAGGGATTTGCCGCTGCCCCTCCGCAACTTGGTCCTCTTCTTCCGCCCCACTTCAGCCGACCAGGCTTCCATGGCTTCGAAAAAAACAGGATTGACCTCCTTCTGTTTCTCTCTGTTTCGCTCGAGGTCATCCAAAATAGCACTCACAACTGATACATATTCCACGCTCGGCGTCCACGGCAACGAGTCACCTTCGGTCCTCTCATGCTCCTCCAGTGCTCTCTCCTTCCGTCTTCGAAAATCGGCCAACAGCGTTTTCTCCTCCTTAAGCAGTTCTGATCGCAGCCCCGCCAATTGTTTGAGCTTCTCAGGAGGGATGACCGGACCCTTGTGACCCCCCTTCTTCATGCCGTGAGAAGGAGGAGGGACTGGAACCTTACTCTGGATCTCAGGGCTGCAAGAGACATCTTCAGACTGATCCTCCTCCAAGACAACAGATTTGCCCCTGTCCATCGCATCCTCCGCCTCATCGCCACCACCATCCAATGTGTCCGACTGGTTAGGCATATCCTCCCGCTCCAGTTTTATGATCCGCCCCTGAAAGTCTTCGAGCTTCTCAGGAGTCATGCCACGAGGATGGGGAAGGGGGGGACTGGAACCTTACTCTGGATCTCGGTGCCGCAAGAAAGAGCTTCAGGCTGCTGCTCGGTGGACTTGCCGGATTCCCCTTCCGTCCCCGTCCCCGTCTCCACCTCAAGAGGCGCCCTCGCCTCACTTTCCCACGGCCGCCACCCGCCGTCGTTTCTCTTTTTGTGTTCTAATAGGTGGTCCGCCGCCGCCGCCCAGTCGGAAAGAGCTCAACTTAGGGTTCCTCCCAAAGGGAGCAGTTCCGAGTGCGGGGAATGAGGATTGAGGAACGAGTAAAATGACCACTAGCTTAAAAAAAAAAGTAAAATGACCACTCATATGTCCCCGACGCGTCGGGTGCGTCCAGGAAGAGGGCCCGATCATCCTTCGGTTTAAGTCCGGTGCAATCACATGCGTGATTTTTTTTAACACAATATAGACACGTACATATATACACTCATTTCTATAAACGCGCAAAAACTTACCCAATGCAAGCAGCAATCTCAAATATGCGACTTGAACTGCAAGAAATACTACTGTCCTCTTGGCTATTCAATCACAAATCACAGGTTGGTTCGCATCACATATCTTAAATACATACTACACACATGTAACACAAAAGTTGAGTACTATTACATATACAGGGTCTGTTACAGTCCAGAAAAAATTATCAAAAATTGACATCGTATTTGATCCTTCCTAGATATGGCTTTCTGTGAAACAAAAGCTGACACAGAGCACTAACTAATAAATTAGTCTAAAAATAATAATAAATGATATAAAAACATAAAAAGTAATAATATAAACATTTAACAATCAAAATTATACATACGTTTGCAACGTAACAGCATCCCCAAGCTTAATTCCTACTCGTCCATGAGTAGGTAATGATAAACAAAAAAATTGATGTTAAACGCTACCTAACATGTTCTTGATCAAATGATCTAATCATAGTATGAATTTGAGATACGTATTATTCCAGACAATAGTCTATCAATTTAACATCAGATTACTAATACACAATCATGCAAGTAAACAATTATTGCCTTTTAAAATAAAAATGCTAAATAATGTGATATATACACACTTAATCATAATAAGCATGGCACACTTGGTCTTCCTAGCATATAAAGATATCAAGTCATGAACAACTCCGACGCTAAACCAAGCAATTAAATCATATTTTTCTTCGTTTTAGCCATTTCAACTCTCACGTAATCCTTAAGCGTGAGCCATGGTCTTAGCAATTTTTTAAAAGGGAGGCATAAGATTTGCCTCATGTATTAAATAAGGAGAGAATAGAGTTTAGAGTTTACATAACACCCCACGCAAATGGCATGAAAATTACTTGCACAAAATTACAGACCCAAATTTCTTTGCGCCGGTAGTAACATATAACTTTGCTTCTTCAAGAATGGATCTAAGGAGAACAGGCGGGGGAGCAAATTTTTGACAAAACACTCTAGCATTCCGCTCATTCCAAACGGTCCATGAGATGAGCATGGTGAGGGAGGTCATGGCATGCCACTTTGGGTTTCGGCTATCGGTTTGCTTGTCCCACCACTTGTTGACGGATTCATCAAGATGCCACTGGGAGGTGTTGACGTGAGGTAGCCCAAGCTTCTCGATGATAGATCTCCAAAGCCTAAGCGTGTACTGACACTTGAAGAAGAGGCGACGCCCCATTTCTTGTTCTCTCTTGCATTGTTGGCAAAGGCCACAGTTTACCCAACCACGCCTCTCCAACCGATCGGCGGTCCAAATACGATCTTGTAGAGCTAACCAAGCGAAGAATTTGACCTAGGGGGGCAAGCCTTCCAAACCATGTGATCCATGGGTGAGAGAGTCAAACCGAGGAATTGAGCCTTATACGCGGTGGCCGTCGAGTATATCCCATCATTCGCATGCTTCCAAATGATACCATCTTCGGCTTGCCCACCAAGGTGAAAGTCATGAACAAGCATCCAAAGAGTGAAGAACTCGCGAATGTGGCCAACGGTGACAATGGTGTTGGGATTGATTTTGAGAATCCAAGCACTGTGCAAAGGCCAGTCGCATCCCCAAAACCTCTCAAGATGGACGCAAGGTTGTCGATATCTGTTTTAATAGGAGCACAAAAAACGGCGGCATCATCCGCATATAGGGAGGTCCACACCATGGGCCTTGCCCACGAATCTTATGAAGAAGGCCTTTCCGGGTTGCCAAATCCATAATCTTATTGGATCAATCGCGATGACAAAAAGAAATGGGGAAATGGTGTCACCCTACCGAGCCCACCATCGTGCTTAATGGGGGACAGGGATCCCATTCAAGAGAATGCAAGACAAAGACGAGGAAAGCAGCGCGGCAATCCAAGCGTGGAACTTGTCCAAGAATCCCATACGCTGGAGGAGATCCAAAATGCATTCCCACTTAATGAGTCAAAGGCCTTTCTTATGTCTAGCTTGAAGAGCAGAGCAGGGGTCTTGCACTTGTGTAACCGCCTAGCAAAATTCCGAACGCACATGAAGTTATCATGGATACTATGCCTCTTGATGAAAGCACTCTGTGCGTTGGAGACAAGGTCATCCATGAGAGGAGCAAGCCGAAGCGACAAGACCTTGGCAATAATTTTGGCTAGGGCATGGATGAGACTGATATAGGTCTATAATCAGATATGTCTTTCACGCTCTCCTTTTTGGGTAATAGAACAACATTGGCGGAATTCCCCCATTGCAGGTTGGAGGTTTGAAGGGAGTCGAAATGCTGGATGACCCTCATGACCGTATGCTTGATGATTCCCCAACACTTCTTGAAGAAGATCCTCGTGAAGCCATTTGGACCTGGTGCCTTATCACTAGGCATTTCTTTTATGGCCGCCCATACCTCACCTTCTGTGATGGTGTTACCCAGGTCGTGCAAGTCATGGGTTTCCGCCCCAAGCTCATCCCAGTTGAAGTCTTTGTTGCTACTACGTCCCCTACCCATGACCTCGGAGAAGTGGTCATGGATGATCTTCTCTTTTTCCTTGTGC